CTGGGGATAAATTCTCTAGCTTCATATATCTTCAGTCACTAAAGGCAGGCAAGCAGATTTGAGACTCGCCTGGAAACACCAGCTACATAAAACAAGGGCTTGAGTATTATTCAAATGTTTCAAAATCTTAAGTTTATACATTTTTAAATTCATCACTCTGGGACTTTTTAGAAAGCAATACATTCTACTAAAAATACTTAAGCATTCTCTTGTGATGAGAAAGCAAAGACAATCACCTCCCAGATCTTTAATTGCAAACAGAGCCTTGAAAAATAACCAGTGAAGTTACTGACTGCTATATCTATAAAGAACTCCAGCTTGAATTCTTCCATGGCAGCAATAACTTGATTCTGTATTTCAAGAAAGCTTTCACTTTGGGGAACTCATGGAGTATCATTTGAGTATCAGTCTTACTGGGAAAAGGGAGGCAGAAAGTTGTGGCTGCGAGCGAATCCCACTCTCCTGGCACCTCTGCTTGTCCATTCTGTGATCCAGTTTTGCAAGGATGATTCTCTGTCCCCAGTTCATGCCAGCCATCTGATTTCTCTGAGTCAGCTGGATTTTTTAATTTAATTTATATTATATACACACAGGCAAACATCCAAATGAAACACTCAGCAGGAAATTTGTACTTGCAAAGGAACCTGCTCAACTTTTACCAAGACTGAGAGCACATCAACTTCCATACTCCAGTCAAAGCCATCGAGACAGTCCTGTCACAAATCCTGTATTTGTGGCACGTGGCCCATGAGCATGATCCATCCAACTCCCATCTTCCACCCTTCCAGAGACGGATCCCTTTAAGACATGTCAGTGAAGCTGTCTTACAAAAAGAATCCCAAAAGGGTGCTGCCAGTGCCCTGGGAGAGATCCTCCACGACGACGCTACCTGAAAGCTGGCGCCTTATAGAATCATAGATTCACTTCTGTGGGGTTTCTCTTGGAAAGAACACAGCTAAAACTACACAAGGACTGACCTACTGTACAAATTCTCTAAAGAGAAAGGAACCAGGAGGACAGATCCCTTTAAGACATGTCAGTGAAGCTGTCCTGCAAAAAGAATCCCAAAAGGTTTCTGGATCCCCAGCTCTCACTCACATACCCTGTTATGGGTGCTGCCAGTGTCCTGGGAGAGATCCTCCACAATGATGCTACCTAAAAGCTGGCACCTTATAGAATCATAGATTCACTTCTGCGGGGTTTCTCTTGGAAAGAACACAGCTAAAACTACACAAGGACTGACCTACTGTACAAATTCTCTAAAGGACGATTCTCTCAGGTTGTTCTGATCTTTTGGTTGAGCCCCTCAGAAGTGAGCTCTCCCAGCCTCCTTGCTCTGTGCCACTCTGATTTCCATGAGCCAAACCAAGATCTCGCTCTTAACTGAAACAAGAAACATTTCTATCTGGGAAATAACCTTTAATATTCTCCTCTCAGCAAGTGATAAGAGCAGATGTGAGTCACAACTGACTTCGACGAGAAGCACAGTATGTCAACAGCAGCAACTTCTGGACAATGGGAGGCAAGAAGGAAGTGAGACAGTATTTATGCTGCACAATTCAACCCTGAATTCATGTTCCAAGCGCTATCACTTGGCGTGTCCTTATGACACATCCATTTAAGAGCAGGGAAATCACCTTTAGGGCTCCTCTTATGGGAACTGCATTACAGTCCAGAGTTGGCTGACAGGTAGATGCTCCAAGGCTTCAGTTACCCCAGTTTCCAAAGGAGCCACATGGAAAATTATTCTAATTGTCCTTAAAAAGGTGTGTGCCCACACCAAACTCTTTTTGTAGAGATTTAGAAGTCCTCTTGTACAATTTTACAGCCTCTAAGTAGTCTATTTACAAATAATGACTAATTGAATTCCAACCAGAGCATTCCATGCCAAGGCACATTACCAGCACCACGCACAGCTTCTTTCAGGCAGGACTTCTGGAGTCCTATGATTGACAAGGTCTCTAATGAACTCTAATTGAAGGCTCGGCAGTCTGAAAAAATGCAACAACAGATGTGGTAAAAGGGCAAACCACAAACTGTTTTGCTAATGAATGAAAAGTGTCTGGTCTGATGAGGGCCAGTGACCCAAAAATTCTGGTCTTCCACCCACCCTTTTACTTCATGTTCAAGTTTGGACCCTCTCCCTTGGCAGCCCAACACTTGGGGGCAGTAATGTACAGGCTGGAACATGTTCCACATCCTCATATTGGCACCAAGAAGCTCTTTTATTAAAAAGCAGCAGCAAGAGCATCACTTTGACAGAGTTAAGAGAGACCTCAGGGAGGCAACTCATTGCGGTTACCCTTCCCAGCAGGATAAGCCTCGGAAGGAGATGACAGTTTCTTACTATATTAATTTTGGAAACCTTTTTTGCAAAGACAAAAGTTTGTTTCTAAGTCATCTTCATCTCCTTTCAGTGGATCTTAAGCATCAAAACAGTAGCTACACTCATAAGTCTGGAGATCAATTTGGAAACCTTTTTTGCAAAGACAAAAGTTTGTTTCTAAGTCATCTTCATCTCCTTTCAGTGGATCTTAAGCATCAAAACAGTAGCTACACTCATAAGTTTGGAGACCAACTCCTATACACAAGCTCTGGAAAGCTGAGCTGGGAGCAGATTTCAAGTAATAACCTACGTTTCACAACGGAAAATAAACACGACGGGGGCCTCTGCTCCAAGTCTCCTCCAGCCCAGCAGATGGAATGAAGCACAAAGGAAACACAAGTCAAGGTGCCATCTTTTATAATTCTGTCACAAATGTAATGAACCTGCTCATGCTCGTCATGCATTTGGAGTCTGACCTTTTACTTCAAGGAGGTTATTGTCTGGTAACGGCGCAGGAAACAGACTAAAAACGTCAGCTGTAAAGGTTTGGATGAAACTTGCCAAAAAAGGTCAAAAAACTATTCGCTTGAGTCTGGTTTATGATGTTTTTGGAACTCTTACAGGTGGCAGTGGCAGCGTGTACACTGCTCGTGTCTAACTAGTGTAGACTTCAGCCCAGCGGACGTCAGGCTGAGGGTGGGCTGCAAGAAGAGGTCTACAGATGTCTCAACAATAAAGAAATGACACTGGATTTAACAAATTATTTCATCTCCACCGCAAAGAAGGGACTGGAATGACTGGTGTGAGAATCACAGACACTGGATTTAACAAATTATTTCATCTCCACCGCAAAGAAGGGACTGGAATGATTGGTGTGAGAATCACACAGACCCTCCTTCTAACAAGCATCATTCAAATGGGTCTGTTTCATGTTACACTTGCAATATGAAAAGAAGCCCAGTGAGCGTGTTGCTGACGGAAAGCATGTAGAGCACTAATGAGCACCATCCAAAAGTCATTCCAACATTTAGAGGTAACCAGCAATTTTCTGAGTCATTAAAAAAACCCTCCTACCAATTATACAGTCGAGCTTACCATCGCTCCCCAAACAACTCAATTGTTTTGAGCCATCCTTGGAGCTGCTCAAACCCTGGTATCCCTTCAGTCCTCCAAATTTCATCCAGAAAACCAACCGTGTCGCAGCAGATCCTATCAATGGGTTAGTTATTCCGTGTCCTACCTCCGGCAACAGCCTCAAAACCCAAGCTTTGGGTTGCCAAGAGTTTGGTGGCACAGATGTAGCCAATTACTAAATGGTTTCAAGAAAAAGAAATAATCCCTTCCTGCAGGGAATAATTTCTTTCCCGACCCACGCAGCTTTCTTACCTGTACCTTGCCTTACGTAACTAAAAGCAGTATTTAATTAGAGTTTGATTAATTTAAAGTCAGCCACAGCTTTTTGACCATGGGACTCCTCCCAAGTTCCCTAACACCCACTTCAATAACACTTAGGAACAGAGCTCCCCAACTAAACTTTTAGCTGATAAGTTAGTACTTGGTTCTTCTGCACACAAAGGTGACAAACAGCTCAGACACAATTTAAACTATTTAATTAAGATGCGCTAGTTCAAATGGCCACTATGTGCAGAACCATCAGGTTTTTATGGTCTCTCGGACAAGGTTTGTCAGCATCATGCATAAAATTCAGGCCTGCCACAGGCCTGCTTCTCACTACAGATAAGAGGAAAGGCTTAATTGAATGGTCTAACAGCCCTGTTCCTGTCCTCTGCAAACACTTAGAGGCTTAGGTCAGAAATAAACCATATATTTAGACTGGACAATAGAAACAAGCTCTCCCAGCGACCCATATAGTAGGTTCTATATAGATTAAACCCATGCTTCAGCAACACAAAGTTACTCCAGAGGCACCTGTGCCACACACTGTTTTCAGGGACAGCTGACACGAGCTTATTACAGCCCAATTGTGCTTCACAGGATGTGCAACTAAATCCTGCATGACTGGGAATAAGCATATGCATCCTTTTAAAGTTAGTTTTCTTCACTAGCAGTTTATAAAAGGAAACCAAATCTTTCAGGGGCAACAGGAAAACAGGTATTGGGCACAAGATGGTTGGCTAGGGATTTTTTTGGATATTCACTGGATTGCAGAGTACCTGATATGGCATAAATTATAAATAGATTTGGGTATTGTCCAGAACCCTGGTGTTCTGACATATTCTGTCTCAGTAATGTCTTTGAAGCATGTGCCAAAGCATCCACTGCCCCTACCGACACCTCCTGTGCCAGCCTACGGACGGGCAGGTACCTGATCAGGAGACAAGACACACGCACAAGGGCATGCAGCAACCTCCTATAAACTGTTCCAAATTGCTTTTGCTAAACAGCAGCCACCAAGCCAGTGATGACTTCATCAAGCAAGCTGCTAATGAGCCTTCACCCAAAAGCACGTCCCTGCATACACAGTAGTACCCCTTGGCTTGCCCAAAGTAAACATGTAGATTCCTGACATTGTTGGGGCAATTGTTGTATTCTTCAACCTTGCCAAAAGACAAGGAAACAAATCACCACCCTTCTGAGATGCTTCAGAAAACATTCTTACATACCAGCTCATCACAGCCAGGACTTAGCCATTATTGCTTGGTTCAATACTCACCAAGTCAATGAGGTCGCTGAGATTCTTCTCTATCTGCTGCGGAGGCAGACGCCTCATCAAATCCAAGGCACAATCCAGCTGCTGGTCACTCTGCAGAAACAAGAACATCCCTTTGTCACCATGTGCACAGGCAATAATACATCACATTCACACGAACTGCAGTGCTTCCCGAGTCTGACAGAAGAGAGAACAGTTTCCAGTTCTAAGCAGCAGCATGTTTTATATTAATACAAATAGATTCAATAAAGTTCAGTACCATTTGATCACAGATTATCGACCCGGTATTGCAAATGTTCTAGACTATGGAGTTAAGAGCACAGTTTAAAAGGTGTCGTGCCATCAATTGCACTGTTGAGGGAAAGGAGTCCAGCCTCCCTACCTCACCAAAACCTGTTTCCAACGCTCGTGCAAATGTTTAATGCATAGTTTTTCCACCCTACCTCAGTAATAGTCTGGGTTAGGGAACTGCAAGTTCCTTTTCCCGAAGCAGTTTTGACACTTCCTCCTTTGTGTTGTGCCATTCAGCTTGAGATAACCAGCATCCAAGACAAATTCTGTTCCAGCAGTGCTCTCTTTCCCACCTTCATCAAAAAACCCAAATGAAACATGCACACAAAGCATGATCCATTATTTCCTCCGTGCTACAAAACACACACCAAAAGCTGCCTGTATCTGAGAAATCAGGGACTTATTTCAAGAAATCACAGCAAGGTACTCCAAAGGGCTTAGTGCAGCTGCTCTCCCATCCCATTCTGACACAAAATGAAACCCTGAAAACTTCAATTCAGAGTCAGAAAATGTGCAACAGCCATTACCATGGAGACTTGATGACCTGAACCATCTTGACATAACTTTTAGCTCTCTTTCTCGCCTACAGATACAAACAGACACTTTCCTGCAAGCCTAACACTACCCAAAATCCACATGAGCTCCTCTGACCAGCAGCTCAGTGGGCAGCCAAAGCATCACCAGTTTGGTCTCAGTGCTTCTTCCCCTCCCTTTTTCCTTTGAGATTCCCAGCCACCCAGATCGAACGAGCTTCGCTTTAATTTCTCCCTCCTGCATCCTGCCAAATTCCAAAAGTTTTATTTAAGAAAGGCTTCAAAACTAAGGCGGTTACATGGTCCCATTATTCAAATAGGAGCCCCCAGGTCAGAGAGAAACAGGAAGCAAAGTTTCCTGCAATTAAGCTATACCCTGGCAATGAGGAAAGGAGGGAGCCCTCCCTTTAGCAGACATCCATCATAAAAGCTGTTCTTAAAAGGTACTACCCATTCACTATCAAAAGATAAATATTTACAGCCAGCAAGTCAGACAGCCTGGCCTGGGGAGATTATCTATTTATTTCTCTTCCAGTTCAGGTATAGGACATAATCTTTGCAAAATATTCCAGCTCTACAGCAAGGCACCGACTCCCAAATATCTGCAAGAGTCTCCTGAAGATCTAAGTCTTCAACCTTAAAAGCAGGATGCACTGACACCAAAAATTGAAGTTTAGGACAGTCACTGAAGAAAGACACATTCAAGTAATGCACATAACCCCCCCCCCCCCGACTATTTTATTACA